AGATCTCCTTTATCGCAGCGACAAAGTTCTTTGATTTGTTGCGGTCGGCGTATCCCTTGATCTCCTCGGCCTGGCGAGTCATCCAGGAGTCCTGCATTTCTTGCAACCGTTGCTGTGCTAGGCAACGGCACCGGAGGTCGGGTTAGGCCCTGTGCAGCTTGTTCTTAGCGGCCAGCAGGTTACTGGCGGTGGCGTCATTTTCGTCGAACCTGTCCTGGTGCTGGCCACCTGCGCGGCCGAGGACACCTATGGCGTCCCGCATTTGGTACCATCTAGTCTCCACGGAAGCGTTTTCATCTGGAGCTGGCAGGTCTTCTAGCCTCGTGGTCAGTTGATTGCTGAAATGCAAACGGTGAGCAGGCAAAGGCAACCAAGCGGTATTCAGCTTGCCTGTCTCCCACAGAGGCAGGTGGAGGCTCATCGGGCGGCAGACAGGGCAGTCGTCCCACCATGTCTTTCCGGATGGCAAACGCGACGTCGGCGTCACGGCGTTCTGCCTTAGGGCGACCGCCCCAGAAGAATGTGTAGCCGGTACCCACCTCCTCCAGTCGACCGTGTTCAAAGAAATGGATCTCGCTGAGTACAGCGATGTCCACCCTGTAGCGCGCCAGTCCCCGAGCGACTGGCGCCGTCGTCCGTTCCGGTTGACTGCTTCTGGGATTGTCTGGGACTAACATTCCAGACTGCCAGAGTGAGCCGACTCAACATAGCAGCCTGTGGGGTGGGACGGAGGAGGAGTAGGAGACTGTTGTTTTTTGTTTGTTGGTTTCGACCGCATGTGTAGCAGTCTGAGAGCCACGGTCTGCGTGCAGGTATCGTGCACTTAGCATTGTTTAAAGCGTCTTTTCCAGCCCCCTCGCCCTCGCTGGGGTAAGCACTGCTATCTCCAAATAGGGCTGCATTGTCTCATCCGACGGATACCGCCCTCCACTATGGGGTCGCGTGATAGTTTAGTAAGAGAACGGCCAATGACCAGAGCCGTCTAGGTGGTTGCATGTCGTCCCTACCGTAGGACTTTTCGACCGTGGGGGAAAAGAGTAGATAGAGTAGCGGGTAGAGAGGGAGGAGAAGGAGGGAAAGAGGAGGGCGAAAAAGGAGGAAATGGGAAGGAAGGGCCTGGCTGCAATGAAATCCCAACTGAAACCTACAGGCACGGCGGGACCAACTCACGACGCTATTTCAGGAGATGTGTTCCTGTAGACAAGTTCCCCAGGATTTCAAGGACACAACCATCGCAAAGGCAACCAATAACTCTGTGACAATGACGGAGGCATCCCGCTACTCAACATCCCCGGGTAGATCTTCGACCGCATTCGTCTCAATAGTCTCAACGGACACCTAAAGCCAGGACTCCTGCGGGAAAGCCAATATGGCTTCCGACGACACCGGGTCACCACCGACATGCTGTTTGCAGTTCGCCAGCTAGAGGAGAAGTGCCCGAAGATGCGAACCCACCTGGACCCTACCTTCGTGGACTCGACGAAAACCCTCGACACGGTGAATCGTGGGGAATATTGGAAAGTCATGCAGAAATTCGGCTGCCCTGTACGATTCATGCACATGGTACGTCAGCCCCACGAGGGGATGATGGCGCGCGTCACGGATAACGGCGCAATCTCCGAGACGTTTGCAGTGACCAATGGAGTGAAGCGGGTCTGCGTACTCGCTCCCCTCTTCTTCCGTTTCATGTTCTCAGTCATGCTGATGAGCGCCCTAGATACAAATCGTCTACAGAACTAACGAACATTTTCTCTGCCGCAGGCGCATACAGCCCCCACGCGTCTATCTACAACCACGATCCACGACCTACTCTTTGCCGACTACTGCGCGCCCAACATCAGGACCGAAGAAGACATACAACGAAGCATGGATCTCCTCGTTGCCGGGTGCTATAACTTCGGCCTGACCATCAATACGGACAAAACGGTGGTCATGTACCAACCGTAATCCAACTTGCAACATTGCGCTCCTCGAACCACTATCGACGGCAACCAACTCAAAAGCGTGGACAATTTTGCTTGTCTCGGAAGCTCACTTTCCAACAACACAAGAATCGACGATGAGGTTGCGTATCGGATCATCAAAGCCAGCCAAGCCTTCGGCTGACTGCGGAACTCCCTGCGGAATCGTCATGGCATCCAACTGAATACCGAACTGAAGATGTACAAGGCCGTCGTCCTGAAGACACTTCCTTACAAATCTGAGACCTGAACCGTCTACTCCAGCCACGCCAAGAAGCTTAATTACTTCCATCTTAACTGCCTGCGCAGAATGCTAAAGCTGCGATGGCAACAAAGGATCCCCGACACGGAAGTCCTAGAACATACCGTAATCCCTAGCATTCACGATATGTCGAGGCAACTGCAGCAACGTTGGAGTGGCCATCTCGTGAGGATGGAAAACAAACGACTACCGAAACAGCCCTTTTTGGCGATGTCGTCGATGCCCACCGATCGGGTGGACGAAAACGGCGCCCGCAAAAGGCGCACTCGATAACAGACGCTTTCTTAAACAGTTTTTATTTTTTCACTAACTTTTGATGGCGTTAGGATTTAAGGTATATTTTTTAGAACAGGTACGCAAGAACATTCGCCTTTCTATCTAGCTGGCAGATGCAATATCGTTAAATTTTATGCTCGCAAAAAGTTTATAAATACGCGTTTCTAGGGCCACATAATGCTCACATGAGTAGTATAAAACCCGTCTGTTTGTGAGTGCACCGTATCAAGTATACAACATAGTTAATATTCATAGCAAACTTTTGTCAGTGCTCTTCGGTATTGTCGTAATATTATGAAGGAATATGCGGTTTGCTCACGTGAGAAGTGTGCAACTTTTATTTTGCCAGTGCCAAACGCAAGTGTAATGGAAAATCGTACCCAACATTAGCCGGGAATTGAAAAAAAAACTTGAAATACCGAAAAGTGCCCATTTTGATAGCATACCATGATGATAAGAAACAAGAGAAAATAAGAGAACAAGAGAGGATATTTATCTACAAGTTTTTCCGGACATACGTTTAAACTTAAAAGGGCATTTAAAATAACTGGAAAGGCGTATGCGTTTCAAGAAGTTGTTTTTTACCTCCTGCTTTATGCGGGCGACTAAGTAAGCCCACATCTATTAGCCAGCGTCCTGGCGTAGCTGAAACACCTCGAGATTATGATGCATGATAACGAATATTATAAGCCCACCTAGTTAATCCTTTCTAGTCGAAAATACACTCAGGAATTTTGGTTAACATTTCATGACGCACCCAAGTAATGAAAACCTGGTCCATTGTGGACGCACCAGTCATGGGTGGCACGCATAGACGGGCCGCCTAACTTTGTCAGCCAGTGCACCCAATCCCTCCTTCAGCCTTTCTAACTCTGTTGTGACATTTGGTTCAGGTCGGGGTAGAGTGCTACGGGTGCAGCGCAGGTCAGCTGTCGCGCAACCTTCGTCGTCCCTGCGTTCGACATGCTTTGGTGCACTCGGTGGGCATCATCGATGGACATGTTCGAACTGTCACTGTGGATGCAGCAAAAGTCCCCCTCACCATACATCAATTAATGTGCAGTTTGTCGCTGCCTTTTCAAGTGCGAAGGACCGTCGTACATTACAGGAGAGCGAGTTACAGGCTCTATTTACCAGATACAGGTCATGTCGGTGGAATATGGGTGTGTCAGAAGCTGATTAAGATCTCTACGTAGTCAAATAACCCATGACCACCTCCCCCCCTGTTGAAGGCTCAGACGTAGACTCTACTTTGCCTTTATGTCTGAGTGGTCAACGCCCCCTTTTCGATGCCTACCTACCGTCTCTCATTCTACCTACCTTTTTCAAAGGCCTCAAAGAAGCTGTCTCCTCATTTTGTCTGCAGAGTTATGATTACCTTTGTGCGAAATTCTCTTTTTCATGTCTTCCGATTGAATATCTCCCCCTCTTTGAAGCTTTATTTGCACAGCTATCCATTACCAAGTCGGGTTAATTTTTTATTAAGGGCACGTCAATAACAACGGACCGGGCTTGCCTGGGCGTGTCGTCATTGTTTTTTTGGCACGACACACAGGCTACTGCGGCACTGTCCTGTATACATGTATTTTTCTTTGGAAGTTCCCTCACATTAGATTCAACCATTATTATCGTCATCTCCCGAGGAAGTCGGTCTTACATCTGTACCTACTTATTTACTCTAAGAAAAGTGCGCAGAATGCACGATTTGTAGTTTTTTCTTATTTTGCACCTTATGCCATAACAGTGCCTCCTACTTCACTTGCTCTGTGACTAGCTATTAGCACCCATAGCACATCTTTCACCGACATTTCTGATACAAACCCAGCGCCCTTGCCAGTTACCTTTCGTCGCTTTTAAAGCCGGATCCGGCCCAGTTTTTAATGTTATGCCCTACTTTGGTATTTTACAATTGCTCACTATATTGCTCACGTATAAAGTGTTTGCGTAAAGGGCCTTAATCACAAAGTTTATTTTTTTCATAATACAGCCATACATGATTTTCAGAAGCATCGGTGGCATCTGCTAATCACGCTGTTAGGTTTATTTTTTCATTTTTTACTTAAAATGGCTCCCATTCCATCTTGCGCTCCGAGAAATGTGGTGCATCTCTCCTAATGTGTGCACTACCCTGCACTTTGAACTACCTGGGAAGATATTACTGATAATACGTGCATTTCGACGCCGTTTGAATAGTTTTCGTACAGATATCAGATAATCATTTATAATGCCAAACTTAAAAGCAACTTTCACGTTCTCTGTGACACTCCGGGAGTCTGTACCACAGGCCTTTGCTGACAAGGTTTGATGCCACCAGTTTGTCTTTTGTGCCTCTTATCGAACGTTTTGACACAAATACATTCCCCTGTCGGGGGGACTATTGTGGCCACACTTACCTAGTGGCGGGTTACATGCGTCATTGTTTTTAATGTAGTTGACATTCTCACCGATATGGAGTCGGTTTCACTGCATTATTACTCTAACCATCTCCGAACCCGAGTATGCGTACCTCGTCATTAGGTCTGTGTTAAGTGCCAAAAGTTATAACAATAATCTCGTCACAACCAACTAGGACCATCGCTGTCCCGAAGACCCAGTACTGTCTTGCACTTTCATGAGGGCGACTTGCACGTCATCCATCTCTTTCGTTCCAGCGTAAAATATCTTCCCATATCGAGAGAAAATCCAGATGACCTAAGGTTGGTGTGGGCTCACTTGCCGAGGAAGCTAGACCGCGTCCACACGTACCAGACATGCTGTGGTCTTCGTTTACACTTACCATGACTCGAAGAAAATTTACCCGGCTCTTGTCGTCGGGATCGGCCAGAAAGACCACATGTGGAGGTAGCCTGTGCAGGCCTGAGTTATTTCGTTGGCTGGCGCCCATTCAACCCACGCCTTGTAGTTTAAAGTAACGAGCTCAATATGCCCCACTCTCCCCACTCCCAGGTACGAGTGGTAAGTGCGATTCAAGTCGCCTGAAGATGATGTGACCGGACGCAATGTCTGACGTGGCATAGAGTCTCGGTCTGATACCCGCCTCATACAACCATTCACGCTCCATGCACCATTCGTCATTATCCACTCTGGCATACTTGATCACATTATCATTGTACGAGTTTTGGACGATGTTTTAATCATTGTTCATGTGTATGCATGTATTACCAAGCAGGCTCATGTCGCGGCTGAATTAAGGGGTGATGTGTGTGTGTGCATGGAAGGCAGGTCTGATGGGTGCTGGTTGCGGCTCCTGACACTTGTTTGTCAGTTCGCATGTATCCGACAGGATCAGTGTGTGGTCGCGGTATGCAGGCGTACCGGAGACACGTTAGTATTCTTTTTGATTGTCATCTGCCGTCCACCTTCCCTGATTTGGTGGTTACATACACATTTTGTGCTTGGATGATAAATGGAGAACTTTGGTGGTGGGCGTGATTACAGATGTCCGACATTTGGACCTTTATTCCTGACGTTTACTGCTCGACAGAAAGTCATTGCTGATGGTGGGCATTGTTTAGCTGTACACCAATCAAATGAAACAAGTTCGTATGCGGAATCGTGGTAGATGCTGAGCCGACGTTAGCTGTTATGTCTTTCAATTTGAGAATATGTTTCAGAATGGCATTACCGACAAAGACAAGGGGGGCTGGAATGGCCATTTCTGGCTTATTAATCGTTGTCAGCCAGTTATTCCCAACCGCGAAGTGTGGAACAGCCGAGGCTCGAACTCGCGACCTGCTAGTTACAAGTCCACGCCTCTAACCAGTGGGCCACGAGCCCGTTGCCCTGTAGATTTTCGATCGGGAATATTCAGTGGCAGGGGCGCTCACCGATCGTTCTTACGAAACTAACTCGTTTCGTTGCGCCTCACGGGCTCTCTCTCTTCTGCCTATGTCATGCGCCGCTGTGCGGCTGCTGGTTGGGCTCGGGAGAGAGAGAGCCCGTAAGGCACAACTGAACGAGTTAGTTTCGTAAGAACAATCAGTGAGCGCCCCCTACCATCATAATATGTTTCACTCGCATCCAACGAAGCAATTGTGCAGCATACATTTGAAAACTTAGTTGACTACAAGCTTGATATTATTGCAAAAGAATCCCTCCATGTTTTCAAAGCCTGTCAAAATTTAGATGATGCCCAGACACCCCAGTAGGAGGGTCCCTCACAAGTTTAATGCACCAACTGATTGTCAAATTATCTACTACAAGACACCTGTTTTCATTAGACCATCTAGTTTTGTAATTAACTTCCTCCAGGCCCTTCTTTGCCGGTTTGTCTTTCCACTCGCCTACCGTCCACGGTCTCCGTCAGACTTGACCTTCTGTGCTGTATGTATGATATGGGAAGCTTACCCAATGAAATCACCCAGGTCATGCTGTCGTCCTCCTTTATGGACCCGTCTTAGTGAGGATTGTCGACTCACTGTCCATTTTTTGAACTGACATCAACAGCTTTTCCGTCAGGACTTCGTCTATCCGGCCACTTGCACATGCACTGACCTTTTTCGGTGTTTACAAGCAGCCACTAAACTAAGCATCCCAACGTGCGCGATGTGTTTGGCCTTCTTCTTATTCAGCACTTTCGCCCACACTCTCCCTCATGTTTCTGTACATCGACATCCACTCACTAGTGGCCGAAAATTATGCGCACTTTTTATGGAGACCTTTACACAAAATGATAGACAAACACACATGATAAATTCTGCTGTTTTGGACTTCTTACCTCCATCGCCGTTGACGTGTGCTGTTGGCCATGTACTGACGCCAAGACCACTTCTATAGCGCACAACCTCCTCCCTCAACAAAGAGGCAGCCCTGCACATTTTATTCAGTTAGGCTGCTGGCGTACACATGCGGTTGGCCAAAACCTTGTCCGCTATGGATTACTGCTGATGTTGCTGCCACTTCACCTAACCCTCCATACTGCACTTTCTCCCGAACGCGTGCGCAAGGACAAACTAACGGAGAGGCATGAAACAGGCCGCATCGGTCTTTTCTACCCAGCATGCCTCCTAAAGCAGCGCCTGTATTCTGTAAAGGAATGACTTCTTAGTGCACCCTGATTCGTCTGTGAAGCGGAATCTGAGTGTGCGATGGCTCGTTAGGGGGAGATAAATCTAATTAACAGTTTTCCTTCACATCCCGGATCCAGTCAGTAAGAAAAGGCCCGTAGGACCTTTGCCCTCTACAGCACAATGGATGCGCACTTCAATTTACTCCACGGGAGGACTGGAATCTCGCAAAGGCGCGTCTCGTGAACCATGTAATGACTAATTTCAAGCCTGTCTTGGCACCGTTCGGACAAATCGGTTACATGGCTGTTGCCGCCTGCCCTCCAAGAAGACATTACCTACCGCCGAGAGTAATCATGAAATCTGCAACCTTTGGTCCAAAGACGCTCATGGGATATCCACCTCCGAATTCAGGACCGAAAAAGAAGCACCGTTTTTCAACTGTCACCACTCAATGTCTGCTTGGTTACAGAACCCGCAAAGATGAGCACACCACCTCTAGTGCAGTTTTTAAGAGCCCGGATTAACGAAACAGCAGATGTAGACCAGAGAATGGGTACATTGCTGAGAGGGCTGGGTCTGACCCGACCAAAAAACAGACTTGGTAATAGAATCGATAAGAAATAGAAATCAGGAGCATGTACCCAAATGGTTATTTCTGGATTCAAACTACCTCAGTAACTCAAATTATCCGCCACAGCATAATTCATAGCATAACGATCAAAAATAGAAGGTTACTTTAATGCTGATCAGACTCGTGATCACTGTTTGACATGTTTCAAGATGCGCAGCCTGTAAAATTATGGAAGGATTGTCCACTGAGCATTACTGGAAAATGTGATAGGAAGGACGAGAATACTCGATAGCTTTGCCCACATCCGACAAAAATACTAATGGCGCATGCACTGTATAAGAAAATGCTCATATTTAACAATAGTTTTCATACCCAATCTCCAAATTCAGGCATGAAATGATGGTCTACCCTGAAAGAAAGCAGCCCGCAAGATTTATACGATCGCTCGGGCATAAGGCCTCTAGTAAGGGGGGATCAGATTCCGACTCTGGACCACCGCGGAACCGGTCGCTGGTTGCTTAATAAATTGTCTAGAACTGTCGCTTGTTCTGTTGCTGCTGTCATTTGTGACGATGGGGTTCTGCACGACTTCGGAAGTTCAGAAAAATAAATTGTCGAGGAGTTAAATCAGTGCCCACTTTTCTTACCAATACATACACGACAGTTCGAGCGTCGTTGCCGACGATGTCTACCGTGTGCTCTATAGCGGGGTGAGGGCAGGGACGGTGGTTTTCGCGTGGTTTACAGTGAATGCGGACTTGTGCAGCATCTACCGCCCTCTCTCCTCCCTCACCTGGACCCGGTGTCAAGACAGTCAGGAAGACTGGAGGCTGGAGAACGCGCAGATGGCACGGTCGAGCCCGCGCCTTGGCGCGCCACTCCACACCCCCGGTCCACAAAGCGAATGACCAGGTTTTTAAGTATGAGCATTTTCTTATACAGTGCATGCGCCATTAGTATTTTTGTCGGATGTGGGCAAAGCTATCGAGTATTCTCGTCCTTCCTATCACATTTTCCAGTAATGCTCAGTGGACAATCCTTCCATAATTTTACAGGCTGCGCATCTTGAAACATGTCAAACAGTGATCACGAGTCTGATCAGCATTAAAGTAACCTTCTATTTTTGATAGTTATGCTATGACTTATGCCGTGGCGGATAATTTGAGTTACTGAGGTAGTTTGAATCCAGAAATAACCATTTGGGTACATGCTTCTGATTTCTATTTCTTATCGATTCTATTACCAAGTCTATTTTTTGGTCGGGTCAGACCCAGCCCTCTCAGCAATGTACCTATTCTCTGGTCTATAGCTGCTGTTTCGTTAATCCGGGCTCTTAAAAACTGCACTAGAGGTGGTGTGCTCATATTTGCGGGTTCTGTAAGATGACTTGGCCCGTATTTAGGTTGCGGTCTATCCCGAAAGAGGGTCAGTAGGTGGCCTGAACTGTTGCCATCGCGTCCCACCTTTGTGCTTTCGTTCTTCCCGTGGATTCCTGGTTGGCGCGCAGTCCATTCGTGTGCTTCAGCCGTCTGTTGAAAAGGTTCCATTTGTTTTGACCTCTTATCCCTTCTGTGCGGTAGGATTAAAAACGTCCTCGTACATTTATGGAAAATAATTTGCAGTAGCTGCTCTTGTATCAATTATTCGAAGGAGTTGACTGAGGCCCCCTGGGTGTTGATAAGACCTTCGGATTGTCAAATCGCAAGCCTTCCAGCGCCCGCCCAAACGCCAGTTTGATTGCAAAACAGAAATATTTTGATTATGCCAGTTTTCAGTGTTGCGCCTCATTGGCAACACTCCATAGGACAAGCAAGGCCTCGACTCCAAATGCCGGCAAATGCGTCAAATAGGTGTGACTAGGTTACAAAGTAAGCCTTAATCGGGGACCAATCTACTCGATGCTGCAGGACAGAAGCCTTTTACCTGAGCTTGGAGCAACGCCTCTAGTGGCGCCATTTGTGTATGGAGGGTTACTTATCGGCGAAACATTACAGGACGCGCTCAGCTCTAAACTAGTAAGGGTAGAAGGTTAACGCTATTTTTAGACAGCATGGACTGGGGGAACGGTCAATTTCGTAATTCTTCAACGACGCGTTAGCGGAAAAGTGAATTTTAAGTTGGAGTGTTTCCGGTGACCTGCGATATACCGCTCCACATCTCTCAAGCTGGCATTTCTCACTGTGTTCAATACTTTATGGTAGTGGTGATATTGCCTTTATGACAGTCCCACTCTGTTGGGGTCCGAGTCGCCCTTTCCCTGTTTGTGTGAAAACCCGGCTCATCGTGTACGGACCAGGCGTGCGTGTCGCGCGTAGGCAGGCTGCTTACTTTTGCCAGCCAATGTGCCCGATCGAGCCTCCGGTCTTCTTGACTCCGCGCATAGGGCGGTGAGAGAATAAAGGGCGCGGTAGATACAGCGCATGTTTTCTATTACCAGAAACTCATTCACAAGCAAATCACCGTCCCTGCGCCTATCCTGTTGTGGAACACAAGATGGGCATAGTCGGAAACGACTTTCGAACGGTCGATTGCCTACCCAGATGGTCCTGTACCGAGCTTGCGATCCGTCATAGCTGACATGTTTACGATTGCCTGCGTCGCAATGATCAGAATACAAACTGTTTCGTACTTATGGAGTTGCGCAGATGCCTCCTCTGCCCAATCACGCGGAAACAACTGCCTTAGGCAGCGATGGAGGAAATTGTGCGATGAACGACGGAGGTTTGGTGCAGTAATCACATCACTTGGAGTACCAACCAATCATCCACCTTCGTATAATTATACTCCGAAACTTTTTGACAATAATCGCTCCATTTAATGATAGTTAGCAAACGTGCAGTTAATATGTCTAACTGCGATTGTTGTGGAATATTTTGCAACCTCATAGCCGATATCTACTCCCTCATGTGTGCAGGTGTGGGCTTACCTTTCTGCCTTCATATCATGCGTTTTTTTCACAAAGGACTGTAATTAATTCAAATTTCCTGTTTTCTGTCCCCTGTAGGAAAAAGCAGCTCGTGATCATACCGATCAAGAGCTCAACTTGGCGCTAGCCCGACATGGTCACCATCTCGCACAGATGCTGCGCCTTAAACAGGAGGAGATGGAGCACCAGTTTGACTATCGTCTAAGAGAAGCCTTGACAGAACAAAAACAGGCTCTCGAGGGCGAGCTCCGCAAGTGGATAAAACGCATGGAGGCTATCGAGCAGGTTGTGGACGGCCGCGCTGACATTGATCGCGTTGCTAAAGAGACTCAGGCCTTGTGGCTAGCCGTGGAGGCCTTGGCCTTCACTCTGGAGATGCCCTTCTCCAAGATCGGTGCCACCGGCACACCAGTGCGCAACGAACTGAAGCCCTTCTATACCACCGCGCCCCTTCGCGAGTTTATTAATGACGTGCAGAAAGCTGCTACTCGATCGGGTAACCACGAATTCGCCCTCTGCATTGCAGATAGTCTGCCTATGGAAGTTTTGGAATCGGGCGTTTGGACACGACAGGGTCTTCTGTCTCGCTTCAATAAGGTATTTGTTTAGCCTCGACCCTATATTTTTTAACAGCCGAAAATTAGACTACAGAAAACTAGGCCGGCACCTCGGAAAGCCTACTTTTTAATTTCCAGTAGGCGTTCCCGTTAAGCCAACAGGGTCGCATTTCATTACCTTCTAACATCCTCGCCTTCTTGTGGCTCCGATTCCCGTGGTTGAAAATTACCGGCTCTGTACTAACCCCTTGCTTAGTTAACGCTTGATGTCTTGAAATGTATACTTGACAACGTTCGCGATTGAGCAGACCTGCATATTTTTGTTTCTGTTTGTAATGGCCGTTTTGCGTAGCAGCATATCAGATTTTCTACTAAATGTCCACTTGGTTTATTTTATCCCGTAAATGGATCCTTTTGATCCTGCACATGAGTGGCTTTCGACTATCCGGCTTAATTTGGGGACGGACGTTTTGCCCAAGTGTCTCGAAATTGAGGCGTCTCCGCCTACTTTCATGTTTTTTGTCAGCGATGCTTGTCCTTCGGTGATAACCCAATTTCGGTGCTCTGCTGGCCAAAAATTGTTTCCAGCGGTGGACTGTAAATGCAAACTGCGGGTTGATTGTACGGTCCCTCTGCATTTTTCGCATCTGAGCCCATAAAAACTACATTGGTTGCCAAGTGCGTGATTAAAATCTACACCTCGACCTCTTGGCCATCCGTAATAGCGCCCTTGCGCAGGCATATAAATCCCGTAACGCAGGTGAATTGTTCATCGTACCTTTATTTTTAAACGACTCATCTTTTGGGGTACTGTTTCTTTGAATTCTACCCCTAGAACTTTATTGCGCGGTGACCATCTTTCACAGCTTGTCTCATGCATGCAAAATTGTAGGCCGCTACCTACAGGGCATACGATTGCAGTTTGTGCTATTTCGGTTTTCCAAAACACCACCGTCTCTAATTCTTCTCTGAGGCGTATGACGCTCAGGATTTTCCGAATGCACAGCTACCGTTCGTTCTCAGGTTTTTAGATTTGCGTCGACGCGCTGATACACTTGTTTAAACTGGCAGTACTTCCTTAGAGTAAAAACAGCGCTTTGGTTTCAACTGCCAACGTTCGCTTCAGGGAGTTAATCTTTCTACCTTGAAGTAGCCAAGATCTTCGTTTGCAGAATAACATGGTTACTAGGTTATTAGCTTCGCTGCGTCGGCTCCCTCTGTACAGTGTGTACAACCTGTCATTAGCAATTACAATTGCCGAGGTCCAACCCCCAGCGATCAAATGGCCAACGGAAGTCAGGGACTTAACTGACCGTGATTTTAGAGATACATCAGTAATATTTTCACGCTTGTTTCCTTTTTCTCAGGTGTACGATGTATGCAGAAGCGTTGCCCTTGTGGATGAAGCAGGCTGTTCCCTCTGGAGCTACTTCATGTCCTGGCTGCAATCCAAACTCCTATTCGACAGCTTCAGTCGTCGACGCCTCATTTCTCGCTTGCCGGGTGCCGCCTCACCTCTGCTCACCCCAGATTCCGAAATTACCGATGGCGAGACTCCAGACACCTTTTGCCTGCTGGCCAGCGCCAAGGCTGCACTGATGCCCGCCTCTGACGCTATGGTCAGCGTAGACTCGGCGAACTGCAGTGACATTGAGTTTGCTGTGCGTTTGCTCAGCCAGTTGCGTGGCCAGCCAGCCGCGGTAGTCGCCGATTGGTTGGAGGACGCGAGACGCTTTCTCGAGGTGCACCAGGCTGTACAGGCCTTACTTGCCTATACCACCGCACAGAACATTTCAACTTTTGAAGAGCGTCTTTAGTTACCCCGTTGAACTAGATTCCCGACGTCTCTCCTGTTTAACTTGCACCAGTAGACGAATCCTGTTGTACTGGACCGGCCTTTACTCCTTCCCTCCGTGCACACCCTGTACCTAAGGGTATATTAGTTCGGTTTTTAAAGTTTTCAGTACTAGTATTTTCATCCTGTTATCTTCTTGTCTTGGATCTGAGGGCTGTATTGTTTTTCGGCTTGTTCACACGCTAATTTCACTCTTCCTTGTTACGTCGCCTGATCTGACCTGAGCTTTCTTAATCAACGTAAGGCATGCTATGAAACAGGGCGAAAACTACTGTCTCCTCTATTTCTGTGTTCCCAGTGTTCGAGCATGAAAGGCACGGTGTTCCGGACGAATTTTTGATGCGAAGGAAGTCTGATACACGGTGCACAGCGGTGGATGCGTTTGGCGCGTTAGTATGGCAGGCACACTTGACGTAGTCCGTGATTTTGACGACCGGAGCACTTTTTATGACGAGTTATTCGAAACAGGAAGTACATCTAAATCACCGGGGCATCTGGTGCAAAGTCGGAAACTTGGTGGTTGACTTCCGCCTGGGACATGCGTTTCCGGCTTTATCCGTTTCTTTATTCCTTGGTTTATCTGAAATTTTTTGCTTTGTCAGTTTTTATGATTGGACCGCTTGTTTTGATAATACGCAGTGAACACCGGCAGTTGAACAAGAGGTTAGGAGATTTACGATACCATCAAATTCTGCGTGTTTTGCCTCCCCTGCCCTGTCCAGATTATAATTTCTTCGATTCTATGTTACGACTGCACTGATAGGAGTTGTTGAAACTTACTTGTTATTTTGCGCGGGATTTGTATTAATCGCGTCAGTTAAACGGGGTCGCCTAACCTAGCCTCTCTTATCTCAAGCCTGTATCCCACAGAAGTGCACACAAATTACACTCAGGTGGTCATTTGCTGTACGCGGGAATTCTCCACCAATATGGGTACCTTCAACTCTAGCAGTACGTTTTTGGTCCTCCGCTCCTGTTCCCTGCCAAGACGCAAATTACGCAGGCGGTTTGACTTCAGGGTATATTCCTGACAGATTCCTAAAATATGGCTTAAGTTTCTCAAAGCATCCAGGAGTGTTTACGCAGAGCTAACTAGTTTTAGACCACGCAAAGGAGCCCCTTTCTCCTGTCACTTCATATTGCACCACAACGGCCTGACTACTGTGGATTAAATTGGAATCGTCGTTATATTTTAAAAATTCCTGAAGACAGAGCACTGCAGTGCGTTTGGCAGTAACTGCGTTCTTTCTGCCTTTGGCGCACTGCGCCTGGTCAGTATTACGTACAACAGTTACTGGATCCTCGGCCCCACCCAGGACTAGCAATCCACGCTACACAGCCTGCAGAAATACGTCTTTTTGCTCTCCACCTTCCAATTAGTATACGCTCTCACTGCCGCTACCACAATCACCCCTTTCCCCTTCTTAACCGTTTTGCCCAGTCTTATGCTAGGTTACACGGACCAAAGTCGCCGCTGAATTTGGCATCCACCTAATTTGAAGATAAACATGAAATTCACAGATGTCGGTGAACTTGAAAGGCAGGCACTTTTTTGCGAGCGTTCTTGGTAATGGGAATGTTAAGGCTCGACACTGGTTGCAGCTAGAAAGCATATCTAGTTATCTGCCTAACCCACACAGCAGCACAAAATTGCCAGCAAGTATGCCCCATGCTTAGGCAGAAAGTGAGGGCCGCACCGCCTGACATTTGTTGGAAGACATTTGCAGCGGAATGTGCAGACAACAGGTGTTGAGATCTCTGTTCTAAACGGTGTAAAATTGGTTTATAGCCGCCATCCATAGCCGAATTCGGTGGAGTTTTGTACTTTTAAAAAGGGCAAGATGGGAATATGCACGCCATTGCTAGGAGTAAAGTTCATTGTTAAGTTGATGCCTCCTAAAAGTGCCTGTGGGAAGTCATTCTTAGAAAAGATTCGAGACGGGAATCTGGATACTTTTTTTTACAAAGACTAGCGTCCCAGTCAGTAGGTTATCGTCCAACATCACTATGACTGTAAAACAGGGCTCACTTGCAGACCTATTACCGCAAGCGCATACGCTATCAATGTATCTCTCTCTCCTAATCGAAGCCTCGCTTGATTTGCTGTTATAAAGGCATGCTTTGAGGTTAAGTGTGTGCCTGATTTGCATTGGAGGAACTTGAGTGCTTATCTTTTTCCTAAGGCTGTATGACAGAGTATGAAGCCAAAAATTCTCATCGAAGTCTGCATCTGCCCACTTTAAATGTGCGCGGTTGCCAAACCCAATAAACTGCCAGTCTGAGAATTTAAAATTGCCGTGGACAGTATCAGCCGGCGTAACGTGAGTCGGTAGCGCGGATCCCGAACACTGCTTTATGTCCCAACTCCAGGTGCTTTAAACCTGGCGACCGGCATGCCTGGCTGATGATGTCAAACATGCCGGAAATGGTTGTTTCAGTGTCACTGTCCTTGTCGGAACAACTCGTTGTCAGACGACATGTCACCACTCATGCGATCTGTAGACTATCAGCTTAAAGGTTAAACGGTTATGCTTATCTCTTATCCACAATCAGGAAAAATGGGTGCACACCACTCATGCGTTTGGCCACTCGAGGTCCTCGTCAATCTTACATGAACCCATGGGGGCTTTGTTCCATAGTCAACTGACTAGATTTCTTATCTGGTGTGCAGCCTGCGGCTGAACACTATTAGCTGGTTAAGTCAGATAAGCCAGTAATGTACACTAATATCTCCCCTAGAGGTCTTCTTACTGGTTTTTGTCCGCCGCGCAAGCCATTCGAAATAACTTAACTTGTGTAACATACGTTCCACACCAAGAGACCCCATCATCCGAGGCAAAAGTCCATGATAACATTGCTTTCGACACGTAGGAAAATATTTCCCGGTCCCGTATTATGAAGTCACAGTCCGAGGCTCAGTGGAACTACGTTTGCAGAACTGTGTGAAGAGAGCTGCAAACCAGTTTGGCAGTACAGAACGTGAAATGTTGTATTCGTAAGCGCTATTTAAACCTGAATGTCTGTCAGGGCCTCGCAGCTCAGGTGGCTAGAGCGTCCGCTGTGCTCAATCCTCGTCCTTGCTGCCCTGGATCCGGACCGAACCGATTTCGTCCGGTTTTCCATAGTTGGATGAACTAGAGTTCTTTCCTCATTTAGAGGGTGGCTTACAAATCAATGTCACACAAAAGGAGCTATGTATTCACCCCCCCCCCCAATATTAGTGCATAAAGTCCCCGATTCGGGCTTCATCGTTATTGACACTGAATAATCCAAATAGGGCATCGAACTGTGTTCTAATCTGCACATTATCCGGTCGACATTCCATGAGGAAAACGTCTGCCGCCCTATTTAAAAAAGGAGGTGTAAGCAGCTTGCCTTATATCATGCGTTAGCCGTTGAGGGATGCTAGAGTTACAAATAAGAGAAAGTCACAGTGACTTCCTCTCACTAACTACCACTTTATCTTATTGGAGCAGGCTCTGGCGCCCTGGTTGGGTTATCTGATGACGTGCAAGTTAGAAGTGGAATCCGATACTTGTTCGGTGAAGACTGCTTTAATATCCCTTGGAAAAAATTCATTTCGGGTGGCCGAAACGAGGTGTTCAGATAATAAAACTCGTTTGGTTAAGCACAGTGACAAATGAGGACAGAGACCCGATCGCTGGGACAAGAGCTTTATTCGCCTGACGTTTCGGATTCGTGCTCGAATCCATCAGAGACAAACGCAGATACGGGTGGTTCATGCACAAGGGGCTGCAGTATTTATAGGATGCAGCCACCATGCTACCGCATACCTATGAACATTCACGGCTCCCCCCTTCATCCGGGATCGTTGCACTTGGTGTGCTAATTGTGTGATCGCCGACATTCACGTCGTTGATTGTTGCAATTTCATCACGTGCGTTGGATGTTGGCGTGACGATTGTTCGACCATCTGACACACGGACTCTGGTGGTGTGAAAAGTGTTCTCGGGTGCGCTTCCCGGGTGGTTAATTATTCCGCCTAAACGCAGTCTCAGCACCGAATATGGAAGGGGAAGGTCATTGCACTTGTTAATGGACTGGAGACCAGTAAACCATGACTAAAGCAGCTCCCGACTCACGCGGTTGTCACCTATAGCGAGAATTTCGGCCTCGTTGAATTTGAATGTGTGGCCGGATATCGTCGAATGAGCAGCAACTTGAGAGCTGGCGTCATTTCTACGCACCACTACAGCGTGTTCAGCTATTCGCATTTAGGTCTGTCTTTCGGTTTCTCCGACGCAGTTGCTTTGTCCGCAACAGCAGCAGCTCCGATAAATGACTCCAGACTTTTCTTGTCGTGACGGCGGGTCTTTCGCTTCCATTACCTGACGTTTGATGGTTGCTTTCGGTCTGTGTGCAACTCTATTGGCGTGTCAAAATGCAGTGCATGATCCGGAAGACAAGATCTCTAAACTACAATACCCTCGACGGATCTTCAATGTAAATGGCTACCCGCGCAACTTCGTCAACCGGTGCATACGCAAAAGGGACAAAAAGGCCAAACCGCATGGTCCCCAAATTCTGGCGAGCGCTTCCGTATGACAAGGACGTTTCGGAAGCTGTCGACCGCCTTCTCGAGCCACTTGGGGTTGGAGTTGCACACAGAAGAGATCGGTGATTGCTCCTGCATGTATCCACGGGCATCTTCGATCAGAACCGACAGGACGTGAGCTCGTAACTCGACTGGTAAAGAATCCGACTCCAGGACCAAAACATTTGGAATCAAGGTCCTGTTCTTCCACGCCTGGGTTTGAGGTAAAACTACCAGAGAGTTGCGGATAGACCAGCAGCGGACATTCGAACTGCACGCCTTTTCAACGGCACTTCTTCTGAAGGCGTTTCCTGAGCATATTTTGCTTTACACACATGTTGACCGTCTTGGAACCCAAGCTGACTTTACTGATTGCATTTACGTGTTTGCTTCCCATAGACAACTAC